GGTGCGGCGGCGGTGGAGCTGCGCGCGAGGCGAGGCGGCGGCGCGGCGGATCGGGCGGCGGCGCGGCTAGGGTTTCGGGTGGGCTGGCGGCGGCTGGGGGCTTGGGGTCTCGGTCTTTAAAGGCCGGCCCAAGAGAGTCTTGGCCGAATACGGCCCTAAATCGGTTGACTTTTTTTTAAATAATTTTGACGTGCAGAAAAAGAAAGAAAAAAAATACTAAACGAACTCCAAAAACCCCAAAATAAATTTTCCTCGTCCTCCAAAAATTTGCCGGACAAGGTGAACATTTATTTGGGCCTAAAATGCAATTTTGAAAAACACATATTTTTCCTAATTCAAATAAAATAGCGACAAAATTCAGAATAAAAATCTTATTTGATTTTAATATTAAATATCTGATATTTTTTATTTTGAGGAAGTCATTTTATCCTCTCTCTTTTACTTTTAATAAAAGAAATATTTCAGAGAAAAATAATTAAAATCAAACTATCCTCTTTTCATAATTTGAGAAAAACTCAAATATGAAAATAACGAAATCCCCAACTCTCTTCGTAGGTCCTTGAGTTGCGTGGAATTTTTAGGATTAACCATAATGCAATAAAACATGCTATGCAATGATGATCTAATGTATAACATTTCAAATTAAAAATTTGGGATGTTACAGGAAGCAATTTTTCGGAAGAAGTAGCGGGAGAGATAATTGATATGTTCACCAAAAACTGTCTCCACGACGCTTGGCGACAGAGCGAGGAGATGCGGTCTTCTCACAGGTCATGATTGGCCCGCGAGATCTTTATAGTGGTGGGGTTCGTCGGCATGGTGATGACCACCCAACTGGTGTTTTTTTTCCTCTGGGTTCGCCTCCGTCTCGGAGTTGTGGTTGCGCCCTCATTTGGTTGCTACACGGCGACCTTCGAGGCAAGGTTGCTTCGACCTCTCTCTCCTACGACGATATAACCGGATAGATTACTAATTGCAACGCATAATTTTTGTTTGATTAGCATAATTAGCGCATAACCAGGCATGAATGTCCCTTCATTATAAGGGTTTATTCTCTTCAACTATTTTTGTGCTCACGTGCCCATAATTTTTATTAATTAGAGCAAAACCAACATATTCTCTTTTATTAGCACGTGCCCACATTTTTTCAATTATAGGCTATAGCCAACCATCATATTTTCTTTTATTGGCATGTGCAAGTTACCTTTGGCAATAATTTGTGGAGTACCGCATTCTGCACATGATTCTCGAGACAACTTCCTTATTCTCACACAACCTTTTTATTTCCAGACAACTTAGGGACATTTAAAAACTGGTGTGATTTAATATAAATTTCCAAATTGCAAGCTAGCTGAGTTGGCTTTGTTTGTCGGCACAAGGAAAGTTCATAGTTCAATTCCCTCGCGCCCTTAATTTTTTGCTGCTTGTCAGTGTTATAGAAAAAGAAATGTGTGGTAGGCCCAGTTCGGCCCACCTGGGGGATAAATGAAAAAAAGGGAACTACGCGTGGAATGGACGGAACAAAATCGATACGTGTATTTTTGCTTTTCTTGGATGGACGGAACAAAATTGATACGTATATTTTTGCTTTTCTTGGGACAGCTGTGTGGGAGTTTCTATATGACGTTAGTTGCGTCAAATAGAGCGTGGGATGCACAACTGATCGCATCTAGGTGACCTGTGTTTGCAAGGCACGAGTAATAATCCAGAAAAACGACGGGTTGAACGTTCGAACACATGACCTTAAAGACTCGATCACGTACTGTCAGCCAAGGCAACAAACACGTACTGCTAACCAATGGCCAGCGCGAATATTTAAAAACATACTGCAACGTCAGATAGAAAACATTTTTAATTTTTTTATATATAAATTGTTAAATATTCTAGGAAAAGTGAACATTTTTTTGAAATTATGAAACATGTTTTTAATATTCCATCCATTTTGAAAACAAAACATGAACAAAATTTGAAACAGAATCATTTTCGGAAGACATGAACCTGTTATGAAAACACAAACATTTTTTGAACTTGTGACAGACTTTTGAAAAGGGAACATGTTTTGAACATTCAGAACAATTTTATAAAATGTACTTTTAAACGCAAATATTATTTTCAATTTGTGAACATTTTACTAAAACAAGAATATTTTTCGAATTTTGAAATTTTTTAGAAATGTTTTTTTAAATCCCAAACAACTTTGGAAAACACAAATAGTTTTTGGAAAACAATTGAATATGTCCTGAATTTCGAAAAAGAATCAGAATTAGAAAAAAAATCCTCAAAAAAATCAAATATTCTGGTATTTTTAGAAAAATGATAAAAACATCAAATTCTGAACTTTTTTTGAAAAGTTTTAATTACGAAATAAGGTAAATATAAAAATAAATTCAGAAGGAAAAACGAAACGGGCAGGCACGGTTTTGGGCACCCTGTGCGACTCTGACTATCTGCCGTATAGGGCAACAAATAGAGTTTTTGCCGCTTCTTGAGCAGGCAAATTAGTGGGCTGGTTTGGCTGGGCCACAACGTGTGCGGCCTAGTACGAAAATCTGGATTGCTAAATTAAAAAACAGATGAACGCACAAAAATTTAGTTCCACCCCGGATAGAAAAAATAAATTTTGATGGTGAACGGATGAAAAAAATCGGAGATACGCACCTTGCTTTATTACTAGAGACATAGATATAGACACCGTGTTTTTGTTTGCTATCATTTTTGTGTATCATTTTTTTGTAATTAATGATTAATGAAAAAGAGTTACAATAAGGGTTTAACCCTAGTGTTTTTGCTCAAAAGTATATTATTTTATCTATCCTTAGTCGCAACCACACCATTCGATCCACAAGACTTCGTTTATGCGCGGCACACACCCGACCCAATTGCACATCCACCTTCGGCATCCCATCTTTTTCGAATGACCAACTTCTATAAGTCCACTATCGCACACCAACTTTTCTATTAATTTGTAAAAAAATGTATTTCTTCGGTATTTTCAAAATTCTGTATATTTTCTAAATTTGTAGTTTTTGGAAAATTCTTGTTTGTTTTGAATTTATCTACATATTTTAAAATTTGCAAACAATAAAATTTGTGAATAGTTTTTCAAATTCACTTTTCATATAGATTTTTATTTATTTTAGTAAGAATGGAATGAATGATCATCCATTTAGCGGCTAATTTATCTCTCGCCATTTCTTTTCTCTCCATTTCCCTTTTATTTTCCATTGAAGTCAACGTTTTTTTGTGCAATTTTTTTGTGAGACTTTTTTTTCTTCAGTTGTAACTTCACCAACTTGCAATTGGGACCAACCAATTTGTCCCGCTCAACCGCAAGTTCACTAATTTTTTTATGAGAAAACTTTCAATCTATTCATCTTCAATCATGTCAATACAACGAACACCAGAATAATAAAAATTACATCTAGGTCCGTAGACCACCTAGCGACAACTACAAGCGCTGAAGCGAGCCGAAGGCGCCGTCGTCATCGCCCCTCCCTCGTCGGAGCCGCGCAAAACTTGTTGTATTAGACAGTCGGGAAGTCGTCGTGCTAAGGCCCCATAGGACCAGCGCAGCAGAACAGCAACCGCCGCCTATGAAGAGTAGCGTAGATCAGAAGGATTCAACCTGAAGAAACACAAACGTAGACGAACTACAACCAGATCCAAGCAAATCCACCGACGATAGATCTGCCGGAGACACACCTCCACACGCCCATCGATGATGCTAGACACATCACCAGAACGGGGGCTAGGCGAGGAAGACCTTATTCCATCTTTAGGGAGCCGGCGCCGCCGTAGTCTCGTCTTCCTAAGAAGGACACAAACCCTAACGAAACTTGAAGAAACATCTAAAACGGAGCCCTCCCGCCGGCAAGGGCCGGGATCCACCACGCCACCATGGTCCTAAGGCCACCAGAGACGAGATGGACCGGCGGCGGCGCCGACGGAAGAAAAAGGAACCCTAAGTTTTTCTTGGGAAGGAGGCTTTTTGTCTGAATACCTTTTATGCAAGTCCACTAATTTTTAACTGGGCTAGTTATAAGTCCACCCTTGATTTGCAGCTAGACTCAATGTTTCTTTTGGTTTCGCAACTGACTCCAACTCTTTTTTGCATAAAGTCCACCCTTAACTTGCAATTGTAATTTTTTTTGCCTCAGTTGCATGTCTACCATCGACTCGAAGTTAGGGGTTGACTTTTCTCGGTTGCAAGTCAACCGTCATCTCACGACTTAGTCTGACCCTTTTTTTATCTCAGTCAAGTCAACCATCGACACGCACCCGAGACCGTCTTTTTTTATTCTGGTTGTCTACTATAACAAGTTTGGCTCGACCTTCGTGAGGGAGGGCGATGAGGCCGACGCGCCTTCGGCTAACTCCAGTGCTTGTAGTCTCCGCTAGGTGGTCTATGAACAGGGTCACATGGATGTAATTTTTGTATTCCTGTGTTCTTTGTACTGCCATAACATTAATATTAATAGATCGAATCTTTTCTCGCAAAAGAAAGGAATAAAACTTATACATGTAAAAACAGGCATAAATTTCACTAAATGGGTAAGCTGACGAAATCCTTATTAAATGGGGTAACTGATGTTTCATGTGTCAAACTACGCGTATGGGTACCCTGCAAAATAAAATAAAAACTACGCGTATACGGGTAAAAAATGAAGTTGACTCGCCACTGCGCCAAGATTTTTTTTTTTTTGAGGGTACCACTGCGCCAAGATTGAAGTAAACTTTATTCTAGCTCCCTGTGGCGCGGCGCCAGCATAGTGCTCAGTTCCGTGGGAGGCAAGTAGCATGATCTTTAGAAAATGAAGGTTCCGTGAGTGGCACGAATGCATATGCTCCAAATCGCATCGCTTGAGTGTATTAAACCGTCAGCAGCTCGTTTTATGCTGCTCACTGACTCAGTTTATCAGACCCATTCGTGTCTCGAGGATTCATTCCCGTCAAGAAGTGCATCCGAGTTCCGGGTCAATGGCTGGCCGCCGGCGACGACAGCGCAGCAAGAACAAGCACAAGACAGCGTCGAGGAGCGACATCCCGTCAGGGCCAACGACCGTCCACCAAGTCCCCGACCACCTCCTCGAGCTCGTGCTCCTCCGGGTTGGCTCTTCCGTCGCCCTCGTCCGAGCCGCCTTCACCTGCAAGCGCTGGCGCCGCCTCGTCGCGGACACCGCATTCCTGGCCCGGTTCCGCTCCCTCCACGCAGCCCACGTCGCCGGTCACTACCACGTCGTCGACCGGCCCTACCGCGAGAAGCTGCCGCCCGACGGGAACAACCAGAACCAGGTGTTCGTGCCAGACCCCTCGGCTGCCGACGCCATCGACAGACGCCACTTCTCCCTCGATTTCCTCCCGGAATGCGATGACTCCTCGTCCTGGGAGCTCGCCGACAGCCGCGGCAGCCTCCTTCTCTTTTACAGGGCGAGAACAAACTGGACGGGGCGGCTTCGCTTCCCGGACCTCGTCGTCTGCGAGCCGCTCTCGCGGCGGTACCAGGGGATCGCCTACCCGCCGGCGATGCGTCTCCACCTGTGCTTCGGCGCGTTCCTGCTCGACGGTGGCGCCGTCGACGAGACGGGTGGCTGCATCGGCATGTCAAACTTCCGGGTGATCGTCGCGGTCTACGAATACGTCGCGCATGCCCGTGCCGCACCCCGGGCCTGCGTGTTCTCCTCGGGCGCCGACGGCGGTTGGAGCTTGAGGCAGCGCGCGGCCGGCAGCGGCAGCGGCGGCGTCCCCCTCTCGTGGTTTGGCTTGATCAATTTTGTAGGGCGCACGCGCTGGTCGCTATACTGGACGATGGAGCGCGACGGCGCCGTGCTCTCTCTCGACGAGTCCACCCTGGAGTTCTCGCTCGCCATGTTCCCGGATGCCGTCGTGGGGTGGCGGGACGAGTTGTCCACCTTCTGGGTCATCGGCGGCGAGGACGGCGCGGTGCGCGTCGTCCGCATGATCAACAGAGACCTCACGGTCTTTGCGCAGCTCCAGGGCGGCGGCGAGTGGGTGACGGAGAAGGTCGTGAGGCTGCGGCCGGCCGACATTGTCGCGGCCAACGAGAGGTATGTCCTCTTGACGCCGAGGGGGCAGACCTGCCTTTTCTCCGTCGAGCTCGACACGCTGCAGGCGGAGAGCACGCACGAGAGGAACAGGTACGCGGGAGCGGCGTACCCGTACGAGCTGCCCTGGCCACCGGTCTTGCAGGCCTGCTGTGCTGCCGATGACACGCGCCGAAGGAGATACCGCTGATGTATTATGGAAATTTGTGCAGTGTACTTTACCAGAGTGTTGGAAACGAGAGTTTTGGAAATGCTTCACGATGTATTGATCGGTGCATAACGCACGTATATATAAAGTACAAAGTAAAAAGAAAATAATGCTATGTAGGTTTAGCGGGGTTTTACATGTAGGTGGGTTTTGATTGAAGATTAAGAAAAAGGGTTCACTGAGAATTAGTGATGTCTCAGTCGACAGGATTAATCATACGATTTGATTGATCTGTATTTGTCTCTGATGTATTCTCGTTGTTCAAAACCTATTGTACCTTCCGCTACGTGGGCCGTGGGCTACGGTTTGTGGTCCTTCTTATTTTTTTTCCTGTTTTATTTATTTATTTTCTTAATAGATATCCCACGTAAATATTTAGTGTTTTCTTTCTTCTTTTTTCTGTTAGGCTTGTGTGTACAGAAATAAGATACGCGTACTTATCTGGCTTTTTTCCTTCTTTATCATTTATTTTTTATTTTATCTTTTTGTATACTTTTTTTTATATGTTTTATTTGTCTGTTTTTACTTCTACTTCTACCTTTTTCTATTTTTATCATTCATCTTTGGAAGATTTAAGTAAGATATATCTTGACACGAATGAACAATTTTTATTCTCACTTTTTGTTGTTGTCTTTTCTATGTGTTTTTTGTTTTAATTTTATTTTGTCGGAGGGGGTGGCGGGAGAAGGGGCGGCCATTTGCATGTCCGACACTAGGCATGCAACTGCAAGTGTCACCCCCGACCGCAACCTCATCTCTTTTAAAATGACTGTAACTGGACTTTTTTGTTCTGTCGGAGGGGGCGGGTCAGTTGCAAGCCCGACAACAGCCCCACAACTTCATGTCCCCCAACATGGTTGCAACTCAACTTTCGTTTTTTGTAGGGGGCGTCGGGAAAGGGGACATGCCAAATGCAAGCCCGACAACAGTCTCGTAACTGCAAGTGGCGCACCAGACCGCAACTGCATGTCCCTCAGCATGGTTGCTGTGACGCCCGGGTAATTAAGCTACAGTGATCCTCTGCTAATGGTGCCACGTCACCTCGTTTATAGTTGCTGATCTCGAGTTAGTTCGAAACCGATTCAAATTCAAATTCAAAAATAGGCAAACAATAAAAGTTTTCAAATATTAAAACTAAAATGTTCGGAGTGAACCAAATATTGCATAGATAATTATGGTGGAGCAACCAAACTTTGATAAAATGTTTAAAGGCCCTAAAACAATTAAAACAATAGTGAAGACAATTAAACAAAGGCCTATTGAATTTATAAAATGCTAACACTATTTTATTATGTGTTAAGAATTAATCTCGTAGTAGTTTATTGGTTAATACAAATTAGGCACTAGTGGTAATTTTATAAAACTAAAATAAAAGAAAACAGAAAAGAAATAGAATAAAAACAAAAGAAGAAAAGGAAACATAACCAAAAAAAAA